CTGAAGGTCAGGCCACTAACTAGTAAGCTGCAGAGCTAGGATTTGATTTTCTGCCCAACTTCGATGCACAGCCACAGAATACTTCTTAATTTTTGAATCCTTTGTGTTAAAGAAAATGTAAAGCATAGACACGTAGAGAGAATAGCGTAACAGATGCTAAGTCAGCAGATGTATCATCAGCGGACTTCAGCCATTATCACTTTGATGATGCCCTCACCCAAGCCCTTTTCTCACATTTTGCAGCAGACCTCACACGGCATATCACGTCCTCTGCCAGTGTTGTAATTTAGTACCTGGCTACGTGACTGCTACCCTGCTATGTCCGGATCAAACCTGTGAAGTCCCCGTGGTTACAGCATTCTTAAGTAAAAATAGAAAGCACTTGCCAATAATAAAAAAGGAAATTGAGAAGCCTGCCGACTTATCAGTGGCTGTCCCTATGATCCAGTAAGACACTGAAGGATTGTTCTGCTGGATTTTACACGGTGTGGGCATGGGGGGAGCAAGTGATGAGCATTCTGTGACGATGTTTGTGTAGGAGCTCGGAGATCTTGCAGTTTATTCTCATTGTCAGCTGCTGGCGAGAGGAGAGTCCATAATGGAGAAGTTAGCAGATAGAATCACTGGTTATGTCTTCTCCCTCTTTCCCTCTTTCGCTCTTTCCCTCTTTCCCTCTTTCCCTCTTTTGCTCTTTCCCTCTTTCGCTCTTTCCCTCTTTCGCTCTTTCCCTCTTTCGCTCTTTCCCTCCTTCCCTCTCTCTCTCTTTCTCTCTCTCTTTCTCTCTCTTTATCTTTCTCGCTTTCTCACTTTCTCTCCTTCTCTCTCTCCCTTTCTCTCTCTCTGTTTCTCTCTCTTTCTCTTTCTCTCTCACGTTCTCTTTCTCTCTCTCTCTCTCTCTTTCTCTCTCTCTTTCTCTCTTTCTTTCTTTCTTTCGTTTTTGAGACAGGGTCTCACTTTGTCACCCAGACAGGAGTGCAGTGGCACATTCATGGCTCACTGTAGCCTCGAACTCCCTGGCTCAGATGACCCTCCCACCTCAGCCTCCAGAGTACCTGGGACCAAAGGCGGGTGCCACCATGCAGGCTAATTTTCATATTTTTTGTAGAGACAGTTTCACTATGTTACCCAGGCTAGTCTTGAACTCCTGGGCTCAAGTGATCTACCTGCGCTGGCCTCCCGAAGTGCTGGGATTACAGACATGAGCCACTGTGCCTGAGCTAGCTTTTCTATTAATGAGATTTTACTGTTGGCCTTCCAGAACCAAATGGTTCCTACAGCCTAAGTACCACTGAGTGTGTAAGGCCAGCTTCAGTTTTGAAAGGGCGTGTGCCTACAGCCGTGTGGGAAAACTCCATTCCTCTCCCTGCCTTTCTTAGTGCCCCGGCCCCTGCTTCGGTGACCCCCTCCCCCTAGCATGGCCCCATTCTCTTGTCCAGCTAGTAACTTCTCCTGGGGCCCGACTCAAAGATGACGTTTCCCTGTAGCCTTTTAGCTATCAGAGAAAATTTGTTGATCTCTTATTTTAGTCACTCATCCAGTAAATGTGTGTGTGACCCAAGAGGGCACAATGGTTAATGATATAGATGTTTCTCCTGACCTCACTGGGCCTTTGCTGGGGTGGGAAGGTTCCGGGATGTTGTCTACAGTGACACAAGGCCCAGTCCAACCCCTGTCCCTTGGTTATGTAGAATCTGACCACATAACCCTCCATGGTAATGCCAAACATCAATTAACTGCTGTCTCCACTGTGTACCCATAGCATCTAGAATATTCTCTGATTGCTGAAATCTCATTTATTGTGTGTACATTTGCACGTGTAGTGTGGGATGCTGGAGATTTACCAAGATGGGCCTGGGTTGAAATTCTGGCTCCTGGACTTGTTAGGAGAAAAGTCCTTGCCTCCCTGGGCTTATTTCTTGTTTCTGAAACGGCTTATTTTACTGCCTGATGGGATCGGCGGGAGGAGCGACTGAGACTGTGACCATCTTGCCCCAGCGCATGGAGCCCATGTTAATTTCCTGGGGCCACTGTAGCAAGTACTGCAACTTGTGGCTTAAAAACAACAGAAGTTTATTCCCTCACTGTACTGGAGGTTAAAAGTCGAGAATGAAGGTGTTGGCAGGGCCACACCACCCTGGAAGGCTCCAGGGAAGGATGTCTTCCAGGCCTCTTTTGTGGCTTCTGGTGGCTGCCAGCAGTGCTTCAGGCGCTCCTCGGGCTGTGGGCGCCTCCTGGCTGCTGGTGGCCTGCCAGCAATCCTGCAAGTGTTCCTCGGCGTGTAGACGCCATCGCTCCTTGGCTTGTAGATGGCATTGTGCCAGTCTCTGCCTCCATCATCACATGGCCTCCTTTTCTCTGTGCGTTTCTCTGTCTCCAAATCTCTCTCTTGTAAGAAGCCAGTCACAGGAGGTAGCGGGGTAGCAGTCACGTAGCCACCCGAGCCCAGCATGGCCTCATCTTAACTTGATTGCACCTTGCAAAGACCCTAATTGCAAAGAAGGTCATGCTCATGGGTACTGGGTGTTAGGACTTGGACACGTATTCCCGGGGACACCATCCTACGTATAATACTAACTATACCTTCTATCTTTAGAACATCTTCCTTGACCACCTCTGCCCCATACCCCCAACTACAGCCCCATTTCTCTGCCCCCTTTAAAGTAACCCACTCCAAGAGCTGTCTATGCTTCCCTTCTTCTGGCTGTCTCTGGAGTCTATTCCCATCTTGTTTCCGTCCCTACCTCCTAGATCACTTCATCTTGGCCCGTCACCCATCGCCTCCCTGTGTTGTGAATCCAGAAGTCTGCCCCGTGGTCTTTATCTTGTCCACTCAGCAGCGCGTGTCAAAGCTGGTCACTCGCTCCTTGATGTTGTAACTCGCCTTTGGGATGCCACACTGTCTTCCTTCTGTTGCCTCGCTGCTTTCTTGTTCTCTTGCAGCGTTTGTGGCTCTTGGCTTTCAGTTGTTCTTTTTCGTTCCCTGTCCTGCTCTACATCGCAGGGGCCGCCGATTCCTGCAAACACGTTGCTTTAACAAGCAGAGTGTCCAGGCAGGGAGCTGCAGGGTCTGGCGGAGGAGAAGCGAGGTCTTTCCTGATTCTGGGAAGTATCTGTGCTGTGGTGGTGCCTCTGCCATTGTCTGAGCTCCCTGAGTCGGGGAATGCAGTTTGGGCTGTTTCTGTGCTTCGTTGAAAGGAATGTAAAGGAATGACAGGGCTGAAGAACTGCATGTGGTGGTCAGTGAGGGGGGCCACACGCTGGGCTCCCTCCAGATGTCAATAAGCTGCGTGTGGGGCTTTGGGCTTGGAAGAGTTCTAACCCCCGATGCCTTCAGCACCAGGCTGATCTGGCGACCTAAGCAGTAAATGAGTTCAAATAGCAGCATGCCCTGTCTAAAATCTGCACCACCACCCCTTTTTAAAAAGAAATACCTATGCTGTAAATTACACATAAACAAAAGGAAGTACTTCTCAGTTTGTGTAAAAGGCTAAGTTTGTGGCTCTTAACATTTTGGTGGGACCTACTCCTTTGAGATGCTGATTATGTTTCCAGAAGAAACACACACTCGCACAAACTGCTGTGGACTCTCTGGTGCTTCCCAGAGGCCTGCGATTCCCTTTCTAGAACGCTGGTGTTCTCCATGATGTCCTGGGCTGCAAGGAGTTCAGCAAGAGGACCCTGGATCATCTGGGGCAGGACGTATTTTATGTCATTAGCATTGATCATGTGCTAGTGGATACATTTCCATTTCTGCGGGGGTTATTCAAGTGCTTATCCAGTCGCAGTGTCATTGAAGACTGTTGAAGCAAGGCTACCTGGGCAACAATGGACAAGATGTGGCTGTGCAGGGTGCCCGTGTACAGTGCACAGAAAATGGGCTGGTGCAAGTAGAAGTTGGAGGGAGGGGTGCTCCATGGCGCCCCCCTTGGTGGAGGAGCCTTTTCATCATGCAACAGTTGGTATGGCAGTGGGCTGTGAAGAGAAGAGCTGAAGCAGTTCAGTATTTCTTTCGTCCTCTTGCCTTCGAAGATTAGAAGTGCATCTTTGAAATATTAAAGATTGGAAATGTTGCCTGTAATCCTAGCTACTCAGGAGGCTCAGGAGGGAGGATCTCTTGAGGCCAGGAGTTCAAGGCCAGTCTGGGCAACATAGGAAGACCCCCATCTCTACAAAAAGAAAAAAAATTGGCTGGGCATGGTGTCACGCGCCTGTAGTCCTAGCTCCTCAGGAAGCTGATACAGGAAGATCATGTGAGCCCGGGAGAGTGAGGCTGCAGTGAACTACGATTGTGCCACTGCACTCCAGCCTGGGTAACAGTGAGACCCCATCTCTAAAGAAACCTGGCAGTGAGGGTGTGGAAAAAGGAATGTGTACCCCAGTGGAGGCGCCCATCTCAACTGTTTTGAAAGCACCTTGGCAGAATTGATCAAAGCCGGTGTGCCTACAATGTGCTGTGTCTAGGTGCTTTTCCTTCTAGGACTTTACTCTGTGGAAAAACTGGCACACGTGGGCAAAGATACGGAAATGTGCACACAGGGACACTTAAAAATAATACTAGATGTAACAAAAATTGAGTGACATGCGTATTATGGAATACAATGGTTTTTCAAAGAAAGGAAACAGGGTTATTTGAGGTTGAAGAGTAATATGTAAAGCTTGAAACACAGCAAAAAATTGTGAGATGTATGTAAATGATATAATATAATATGATACAATTAAATGAATATCCGTAAAACAAATTCTAGAAGGAAACCTATGAAATTCTTAAGGGTGATTGCTTCTTGGGAATAAGACTGTGGAGGGGATGAGGAGGACTTCTACCTTTTGCTTCTTAAGTTTCTGTTATATTTGAATATTTACAACTAACACCAATTAAAATGATATTTTTAATGATCTTGTTGCATCTGACAAAATGATGCTTTTTTAACAACAAAAAAAATCTTTCCGTTTTTGCGTTAAGTGACTTGTCTAAGGTTCCTTGTGTGTGCTTTCCATTTCAGATTCTCGATGAATTCAAAAAGGATTCGTCCGTGTTCATCCTGGGGTGAGGCAGCCCTTGCGTGTTGTTCGGGGCGGCTGTGCTGGACCTCAGTGCCTGGTGCCCAGCCGGCCTCCAGGAGGGGATGCCTGTGTGTGCAGGCGCTGACCTCCAGAGGGACGGGGGCCCCCTGCTGGGGAATTGGCCATCCCACGCTTGTGGTGCGGATAGACATGAGCAGTAGCAACAGGAGGGTGTGGAGTGCTGGGAGGATGGTCTAGAAGGTTCTGTAGAAAGGCCTGTGTGCCTCAGGGCCTTCTTTCCCAGAATGTGCCTCATAAGACGTGACAGGTTAATAGTTTTTTTTTTTTTTAATTACAAAAACTAATGTTAATGATCAAATAAGTGAAAAATTCCTTGTTAAACAGGTTTAACGGAATTAAAATGAGTTCAAGTGTATAAACTGCTTCACATGGTGCTTGGCACCCATGAGGGGCTCATAAATAGTAATATTATTACTAAAAAGTCAGTATTGCAGGACTTATCAGGACATTTACCGTGCTTCATGATTACCCAAGTGGGGAATTTCTGAGATGTTTTGTGTTTCCCCAGCCTATCTGACTGGGAGAAGTGTTGGCCCTGGAATTAATGGTCTGGGGTACATTGATCCAGTCCTCATTGGTGAGCAACTTTTCCCTCTGTCACTTCTGAAATCAGAAACTCTAAGACTCCAAAGTATAAATAAAATGAATCCAATATATATAATTTATATATTATTTATATTCATATATATTTATATATATGAATATATAAAAAAAATCTATATATATTTATATTCGAGACGGAGCCTCCCTCTGTTGCCTAGGCTGGAGTGCATTGACGCAATCTCGGCTCACTCCAACTTCCACTTCCCGAGTTCAAGTGATTCTCCTGCCTCATCCTCCGAGTAGCTGGGATTACAGGCATCCACCATGTCCTGCTATTTTTTTTTTTTTTTGTATTTTTATTAGAGACGGGGTTTCACCATGTTGGCCAGGCTGGTCTTGAACTCCTGACCTCAAGTGATCCACCTGCCTCGGCCTCCCAGAGTGCTGGGATTACAGGAATGTGCCACTGTGCCCAGCCATAATTTCCACATAGTATTTTAATGGAAAGCTTAGTGTTAGACCGTGAGGCTGCCGAGGAAAGGTTAGAAATGTACTCATAATTAAAGACAGCAGACTCCTGGACCCTGAGTGTTTAGTAAAGGGAGAAAGTGCAGGGAACGTTTGATGTCTTAAACTATGTGAAATAGACCTCTTTTCCCCAGGTTCCTGCAAGGGCTCAGGGAAACATACCCATTTCCCTGGAAGGCCTCAAGTGGCAGAATGTATTCCTCATCCAACCTGGATGTGGCTCATGCTGACCCAATAAGGCCCTGTTTTTCTGGTGACCTGCTGGCCAAGGCGGGAGTCCTGCCTTTATTCGGAGTGTAGTGCTCCCTCCCTGATACCCGACCTCTGCTTGGTCCAGGGATGTGTTTTCCACACTCCAGTTAATTGTGCCCGGATAGCCTGGAGTCTGGGGGGGCCTCATCTGGTCCCCACTCCAGAGCCCTCAATGACCCAGGGAACTCTGGATCATGGCTTCCGAGGAGGCGCTTGGGTCTGGCTCCTTCCTCCAACACCAGCTCTCCCTATAAGGGTGGGTAGCGTGTCCAGCCCTGTCTGGGCATTGGGTAGGCACGCTCATGTCCCTGTGTTCCCCACACCTTTCACTCTGCAATCCCTCCCTCCAGCTTGCGTTCCCTCTCTCCTAGCCCTCTTCCTCTTTTCCCCTCCCTTCTCTTTTCCTCAAGGCCGCTGCATCTATGGTTTCCTTGCCTGGCACTCTCTGCATGTCCTTCTGGCTCACCCCACCTCCTTCTGGCTCACCCCACCTCCTTCTGGCTCACCCCACCTCCTTCTCTGGAACTACAGTAGGTGCCTTTTCCTCAGGAAAGCCCCTCTAGCCCTCCAGGTCTGGGTTTGGGGCCCTCTCAGCGGTTCCCACTCTGCCCCTCCCCTCCCCCCTTCATCTCTTGCTACACCGTATCCCAAATGCCTGGTTCGCTTGTCTTCCCCGTGGCCACACTGTGAACTGCTCCTCAGACTGGAGGGCACCAGAGCTATTTTGGAGCGGCTAGATGCAGACGCCAGGGCCTGCCCCTTGAGATTCTGATGTCAGGGCCCCTCTGAATCCCTGTAGGTGAGGGACATTGTGTCATTCACCTGTGTCTTCCTGTTGGCCAGCCTGGTACCTAACACAGCACCAGACTCAGTGGGGCGCTCTGGGTGGCAGGCTGCCCCATTGGCTGGCGTCTCCTCTCGACTTCTCTGTTGAATGTGCCTGTCTCTAACCGCACCCCTTTTCCCCGAGGACAGGAACACAGACAGGCCGGATGCCTCCGCTGTTTACCTGCATGACTTCCAGAGGTTTCTCATACATGAACAGCAGGTGAGAAAGCACAAGGTGTGTGGGTGACTGGGGTAGCTGGCGGGATGCTGCCGGGGACTGGTCTCACGTTTCTGCCACTTGTACTCACTTGGTCACCTGTGTTCACCTGGCTACCTGTGCTCACCTGGCCACCTGTCTTCATGGAATGACTGCAGTCTCCCAGGTGCCAGATACTTCAGATTGTTGTCTGATGCCACTGAGACTCTGGATGAGAAGAGCCTCATGTCGGGCCTCTTTTCAAGACACACATTGAGGATGGGAAGAGTGAGAAGATTCCAGGGCAGGGCAGGAGGGTGAGGGCCTGAGGAAGGGGCTGCCCTCACCTGGCTGGCGTCAGCTTTTCTGGCATCATATCAGGTGTCACTGCCTGGGAAGCCTTCCTTGACTGATGGGAGGATGGGACCAGATTGATCAAGCCTGCCAGGCCCCCTGGGAGATAAACTAGCCCAGCTGTCCTTAAACAGATGATGCCTGGGACAGTCTCTGGACAGGGTTTGCCTGTGGGCCTTGAGCCCAGCTATAGACTCAAGGGGGGTTTGTGTTGTGCATTGGTCTTCCACTGCTGTGACGATGCCCCCAGAGGACACTGGGCAGTGTCCAGAGACATGGGTGGGTGTCACAGCTGGAGGCTGCTGCCGGCATCTAGCAGGTCAAGGCCAGGGATGCTGCTAAATACCCTACATTGCCCAGGGCAGTCCCCCTCCTCCCCGCAACAAAGAAGTATTCAGGGCCTGGTAGGGTGGCTCACGCCTATAATCCCAGCACTTTGGGAGGCCAAGGCGGGCAGATCACTTGAGGCCAGGAGTTCGAGACCTACCTGGCCAACATGGTGAAACCCCATCTCTACTAAAAATACAAAAATTAGCTGGGCATTGTGGTGGGTGCCTGTAATCTCAGCTACTCGGGAGGCTGAGGCAGGAGAATCACTTGAACCTGGGAGGCAGAAGTTGCAGTCAGCAGAGATTGCGCCACTGCACTGCAGCCTGAGCAACAGAGCAAGACTCTCTCAAAAAACAGAAAACAAAACCACCCCCCTACCAAAAACAAAACAAATCAAAGAGGTATTCAGCCCCAAGTGCCTATAGTGCTGAGGACAAGAAACTGTGAGAGTGAGATCAACTTGAAATCTTCTTACCAGCTGCACAGCCATGGACAGGTGGTTTACCCTTTCTGTGCCCCAGTTTCCTCTTCTTTAAGTGGGATTGAGAGCATCTACCTCTGAGAATTGTGGGGATCAGAGACAATTATATGGATCTGTGTGTGTGTGTGTACATGTATGCATGCCTATTCACATATAAATCTAAAAATTTTGTATCATTGGAGTTCCATTTCCTTTTTTTTTTAATTCAGTTTTAAAAAAATAGACTATATTTTAGAGCAGTTTTAGGGTTGAAGCAAAATTAAGTTCATTTACTTAAAAAACCTCTTGTCTTGCAGAACATTTCAAATATACACAAAAGCAGACAGATGGTTTAATGAACCACCATGTATCATCACTCACATTAAAAATTGTGAGCATTTTGCCAATTTTTCTTTTCGTTTGAGACAAGGTCCCACTCACCCTGTTGCCCAGGCTGGAGTGCAGTGACATAATAACAGCTCACTGCAGCCTCAACCTCCTGGGCTTAAGCGATCCTCCTGCCTCAGCCTACTGAATAGCTGGGACTACAGGTATGTGTCACCATGCCCGACAATTTTTTTTTTTTTTTTTTTTTGAGATAGAATCTTGCTCTGTTACCTAGGCTGGAGTACAATGGCTCGATCTTGGCCCACTGCAACCTCCGCCTCCCATGTTCAAAGGATTCTCCTTCCTCAACTTCCCAAGTAGCTGGGATTACAGGTCTGCCACACACCTGTATTTTTGTATTTTTAATAGAGTCGGGGTTTCACAATGATGGCCAGCCTGGTATTGAACTCCTGGCCTCAGGTGATCCACCTGCCTTGGCCTCCCAAAGTGCTGGGATTACAGGTGTGAGCCACCAGGCCCAGCCCCGACCAATTTTTGTATCGTTAGTAGAAACGGTTTCGCCATGTCGCTCAGGCTGGTCTCCAACTCCTGGACTCAAGTGACTCACCTGTCTCAGACCCCAAATTGCTGGGATTACACACATGAGGCACCGTGCCCGGCCCACTTTGCCGGTTTTATTTCATCCATTTCTAAGTCCACACACGTGTCTCCCTACCCTTCCCCTTTCTTCATTTCTTTTCTGAAGAATTCTAAAGCAACCCCCAGACTTTGCGTCATTTTGTTTGTAAATACTTCCATATGTTTCTCTCATGGATAGGACTTTTTTTTCCTTTTTTCTTTTCTTTTTTGAGACAGAGTCTTGCTCTGTCGCCCAGGCTGGAGTGCAGTGGCACAATCTCGGCTTACTGCAAGCTCTGCCTCCCGGGTTCACGGCATTCTCCTGCCTCAGCCTCCCGAGTAGCTGGGACTACAGGTACCTGCCACCATGCCTGGCTAATTTTTTGTATTGTTAGTAGAGACGGGGTTTCACCGTGTTGGCCAGGATGGTCACGATCTCCTGACCTTGTGATCCACCCACCTCAGCCTCCCAAAGTGCTGGGATTATAGGCATGAGCCACCGCGCCCAGCTGACTTTTTGTTTTTTTAAAAAATATAGCCATAACACTCCTATTACAGCTTGTGCAATTAGCAGTAATTTTTAAATGGCATCCAATACCCAGCCTGTGTTTGGCTTTCACTGATGGAAGAGACACTTAAGAGTAGGGAAGATGTGTTTTACACAAGGCCAGCCACACTGAGGGCTCAGGGAAGGGTCGTAGCTACCCTAGTAGACTGATAAATGGTGAATGAGAATGTTGATGCATGTTGTAGGCATCATGCCTTCCCAGTGCCGGGGTTGAATGACAGTGATCAAAAGAAGGCTTATTTGCCCAACCTGAGACTAAGTCTGAGGGAGGAGGTAAAATGAAGGTAATACATTAATTTTATTGGGCACAGTCACATGTTAGGTGTGTGCTGGTGCTAAAGTGAAGCAGAGAAATTCAAGCACTTTTTTCCTGTCATGATTTTCCTTCCACTAAATTATTCAGTTTAGTAGGAAACGATTAAAGTTAAATTGGTTAAATTCTTGGGGACAAGTAGCCTCGCCTTGTAGAATTTACCACCTGGTAGGGAGACTTGGGCATATAGATTTAGCCCCACCTAGTGGTGGTTGATTTTATTACATGCTTTCCCCAAATGGGGCCCTTTACTGGGCTGCCCTTAGAGATCAGGGATTTGCGGCCAGGAGAAAGTAGGAGCTCGCTCTCTCTGCATCTGCGAAGTTAGGACCCGACCAGCCATGAGCATCCATGCGATGTTTGTTGGTCACACAGATGCTCGTATGGAATAATCACTAAAGCACTTTGTGTGCAAATTAGTATGACTTTTCTAGAAAATACTTTGGCTGTATGCAATGAAAAGAAAGCTTTAAAACTAGATTCTATATCTTGAGTAAATTGTTGCCCTCCCGCACACTTATCCTAAGGAAATAATGGCAGCATTTTTAATGGAAATGAAAACTTGAAACGTCTTTAGAAGGTTGGCTCAGCACGCCATCGTGCAGCTCTGGGATGGACGGGTGATGGGATAGCAAGGGAGTTAAAAGTATGTTTCCAGAATCAGTGTTTCTGGGTTTAGTCTGAGGCTCATGTCTGGGAACACTAAGTTAACGACTAGAAGCCTAGTTGTATAGGTTGTATACATGTTGGCCCATGTGAAGCAGGCCTCTGTTTCCCCATTTATATGACATGGAGAATAACCTGTGTCTCTTGCGGTGGTGGTAAGTTCACGATGAGCCACTATGTGGGGCCTGGTGTAGAGTCAGTGCCCAGTGTTGACGGCCATCACCATTTATTTTTATTTTCATCATTATTCTTTGCCATTTTCACTATTATAGGTGTCTAGTGCAATACCCCACACCAAGTAGATGCATTTTACAACCCCTAGAATATTGATATTTCAATCTCCTTTAGGCAGAAGGTTTCTTTCTTTGCAGTCAGTCCAGTGCCAGGTTGTATTAGCTAAGTACCCATGCATTTTGATAAATGTAAAAACTTTGTAGGGGGCAGGGAGGAGGATACCTCCAGCCTCTTTGGGACATCTTGGTCAGGCAAAGTATTTTAATAAAATATCCCACAATTTGGGTTTCATGTTGTAGTATTCAAAGATTCTGACACTCCTGTATTCAAATGAGCTCGCAGTTTCCCAGCTTCCTGGCTGTTTTGGGCTCCTGATCCAGGTAAATTTGCAAGAGTCAACAGCTGTTCATTTTTGTCTTACACCCATGCATGTCACAAGCCTCCTGGTCACCACCTCATTTGCGTCCGTTCTTCTATTTTTCATTCTTTCAGACATCCTCATCCAGCCCTTCCCATCGAACCACACGCACATCTGGTAGCATATTTGCTCCTGTTAGTCATAAAGATAAAGGTTTTAGAATATTTGAAGTGAAGAAAGCATTGATCAATGTTGAATTTACATGACATATTTCATGCTCTTTTCCTATGAATATTTGGCATTTCAGGGCATGGAGAGGAAAGCAATAGTTACTTCATATTATACATTCTTTTAAAAAAGGATTTCTAGAATGTCTAGGACTGTGCAGCAGCTGCTTTGGAACTGGTCATGTATATTTCAGACGTTATCAGTGTTTTAGCAGCCCTGTTTGCCTATTCTCTTGGAAAGAGGGCATATGATTACATTCCATGTCAGTTTAGCTATTTGGAGCTGAGACTCTGCAATTTACAAGCTGTGTGGGCTTAGGATCATGAGGTATTGTTCCTGGGCCTCTTTCCTTGTCTCTAAAATGACAATGGCAGTAAATGACTTTGCGGAGTTATGTGGACTAAGTGAGATGACCATAGGAGAAAGATGGATGCTTGTTTGCACAAGCTGCTATGGTCAGAGCACGCACTTTTTTTTGAGACAGAGTTTCACTCTGTTGCCCAGGCTGGTGTGCAATGGTACAACCTTGGCTCACTACAACCTCTGCCTCTCCGGTTCAAGCAATTCTCCTGCCTCAGCCTCCTGAGCAGCTGGGATTACAGCGCCTGCCACCACGCCCAGCTGATTAAAAAAAATTTTTTTTTTTTTGTATTTTAGTAGAGATGAGGTTTCACTATGTTGGCCAGGCTGGTCTTGAACTCCTGAGCTCAGGCAGTCCACCCACCTCGGCCTCCCAAAGTGGGTCTGAGCACTTTCTATGCACCAGGTGCTGCGTTAGGCACATAACCTAATAGGATCTCATACAATGCTTCATACAGTATCCATTTCATACAGTGCTTTACACAAACTGTGTGGTAGATACTCTTACTCCTGCTTCGTGGATGCGGAGGCACAGAGACGGTATGTAACTTGCCCAAGGTCACCTAGGTAGAATGAGAGGCCAACCCAGGTAAGTGACCTGGAAGGCTGATGTAACTGCCATGCCCCCAGGCTGCTTCATACTAACGTAAAGAGCTGTCATAGGGCAGGAGCTGGCAAACCATAACCTATGGGCCAAATACAGCTGATCTTGTTTTTATAAACAAAATTTTGTTGGAATACAGCCATGCGCATTTGCCCGCGGATTATCTGTGGCTGCTTTTGCACCACAGCAGTGGAGTTGAGAGGTTGCGACAGACACCATATGGCTCACAGAGCCCAAAATATTTACTCTCTGGCTCTTTGCGGGGAATCTTTGCTGACCCCTGGCAGAGGGCCATGTGCAGAATGAGGCGTCAACATGTGGTGCTCGATTGCAACATGTGATTTCGGAATTGGTTGACGTGTCAGTCTTTGCGACTGTCTGGACCCTGGGAAACGAAGAATTTTATCAGTACTCATTCTGGTGATCTCTTGTTCTGTTTCTCATTTTAAGGAGCATTGGGCTCAGGATCTGAGCAAAGTCCGTGAGCGGATGACAAAGTTCATCGATGACACCATGCGCGAAACTGCTGAGCCTTTCTTATTTGTGGATGAGGTGAGTAGCTGTGCTTGTTGTCGCGTGGGGGTGACTTTTTGATTGACGTCTGTGCTTTCTGAGGTTTATTTTCTGTTCTCTTTCCTTGGAGAGCTTTGCTGTTTGATGTCCCCTCGACTGACTGGTTATTTGGGAGTGTTTTTCTTTTTTTTTTTCTCCCAGGTTCCAGATTACTGTAACTGTTAACTGTCCAGTGGGTTCATTTTGCCTGCTGCCTAGACACAGCCAATTGATCAAGGCAGGGGAATTGAAACAGGGGAAGAGTTGAACTCACGTAGAGCTGGATGAATGGGAGACTCGAGTTTTATTATTACTCAAATCATCTTCCCTTTCAGAGGCTCGAGTTTTGTTTTTTATATCTTTGTTTGCTTGTGTTTTTGTTTCTGAGATGGTGTCTCAGTCTGCCACCCAGCCTGGAGTGCAGTGGTGCGATCTCACCTCACTGCAACCTCCGCCTCCCAGGTTCAAGTGATTCTTGTGCCTCAGCCTCCCTAGTAGCTGGGATTCCAGGCGCCCTCCACCATGCCTGGCTAATTTTTTTGTATTTTTAGTAGAGACAGAGTTTCATTATGTTGGCCAGGCTGGTTTGCAACTCCTGACCTTGTGATCAGCCTGCCTCGGCCTCCCAAAGTGCTGGGCTTATAGGTGTGAGCCACCGCACCTGGCCGAGGCTAGGGTTTTTTAAAGATTGTTTGGAGGGCCAGGGAAGGGGTGCTGCTGATTGGTTGGAGAGGCAATCCTATGGGTGTGGAAAATAGAGTGCTTCTGGGTGGGGCCACAGGACCAGTGGGCGGTCCAGGTAGAGCCATGCAAACGCCCAAAAAGGCATCTCAAAAGGCCAATCTTAGGTTGAACAAGAGTGATGTTATCTGTAGGAGTACCTGGGGAAGTTGCGAATCTTATAACCTCCAGAAAAATGGCTGGTAGCCAATTAGTCTCCACCTTAGCGGAATTCAGGCCCCTCTCATCCTCCTAACCTGGTCTTTGTTTAGCTTTACAAAGGTAATTTAGTTTTGGGGAAGGGCTGTTACTTAAACTATAAACTAAATGTTTTCCAAAATTACTTTGGCCCAAGCCCGGGAATAATTAAGGGCAGTTTGGAGGTTAAAGGCAAGATAGAGGTTGGTTAGATCAGGTCTGTTTCGTTGTCATAATTTTCTCGTTCTGATTTTTGCTAAAGCAGTTTCATAGCCTTTTACTCTTCTCTATTGACCGTGTTGCCTGGGTGGGATTACTGATTTTGCCACTAGAGGGCATCTGCCACCAGGGAGAGTTGAACCATTGCAAGCACAGAAACAAAATGCGAAGGTGTCTGGGTGCTTGCAGGTCAGAATGGTTGCCTTTGACATTGCATAGGGAAGGAGGGGAGTTGGAACTGGGGAGCGCCTGCCCCATATGAGGTCGTTCTCAGGCAGCAGAAAGTAGGCCCAGGTCGCTAAAGCATTTTTTTTTTTTTTAAAGGGGCCAGGAATTGTAACTTGAAATTTGCTGCCCTTTCAACATTCTGATATGGATAACACTGTTTCTTCAGCTGGGTGGTGGCTTCACAGCTTTTCATGCTACTGTTGTGCTTTAAAACGTATATATGAGGCCAAGTGCAGTGACTCACACCTGTAATCCCAGCACTTTGGGAGGCTGAGGCGGGTGGATCGCTTGAGGTTAGGAGTTTGAGACCAGCCTGGCCAACATGGTAAAATTCTGTCTCTACTAAAAATACAAAAATTAGCCTGGTGTGGTGGTGCATGCCTGTTATCCCAGCTACTTGGGAGGCTGAGGCAGGAGAATCGCTTGAACCCAGGAGGTGGAGGTTGCAGTGAGCTGAGATTGTACCACTGCACTGCAGCCTTGGCAACAGAGCAAGACTCTGTCTGAAAAAACAAAAGGCAACAACAATGTATATATGGTAAGCATAAGCCCTTGCAGTAGCAAATATTTTAGGATAAGCATTACAAAGGAAAATATTGTCTAGGTCCGTGGAACAAATATGTCACTGCAGCCCATTGCAGTCTGAGCCTTTGGTATTGAAAACGTGGGTAACTGAGGTCTGGAGACCATCTGTTGGTTTCACGCGTCAGAGCTATTCTTCCCCTGGGTGGACACAGAGCAGAAGCAAGCAGACACCATCCCTCCCGTCAACGTGATGATTCAGTCTTCGTGTTTGACTCTTTTAGTTCCTCACGTACCTGTTTTCGCGAGAAAACAGCATCTGGGATGAGAAGTATGATGCGGTGGACATGCAGGACATGAACAACCCCCTGTCTCATTACTGGATCTCCTCGTCCCATAACACGTGAGTTTCACATGAACCTGTGATGGGTTGGGCAGCACAGAGCATGTGAGGGTTGAGGCAGGGGTCCAATGTGCTGCTCTGGTGAGCCGTGTTGAGAAGCAGGTGGAGGGTGTAGGGTCGCATTCCTTGGACTAGAATACACAGAAGCTTCTGGAAGGGGCAGGGAACACACCTCCCTTTCTCAGTTGGCATTGTAATGATAATCTGTTTTCTGTGGCCCTAGTAAAAGCAAAAGTAACTTAAAGTAACTTAGTAACTAAAGTAACGTAGTAAACTTAGTTTTTCATGATTTGGGCTTCTCACAGTAGCCACACCAAAGCAATTCGGTGACTCATTGAATTGATTCATAGGGACTGTGTACCCTGTGCCTGCTGGGAGCTGGGAATGTGGCTGTGAACAGGTGGCAGCCACGTCCTCGTGTGCTGGGAGGAAGGCCTCCATTGAAAGTTAACCCCAGAAGAGGACTTGCTGATGGTGGGGAGCAGGTGGTAAGGCGAGGAGAAGTGTTTCAGACAGAGGAGCAGCATGTGCCAAGGCCCTGGGACAGGAGCAATTGAAAAGAGTCTGCTAAGGCTGGAGTGCAGAATCCAGGAGAGCGGTGTCAGGAGGGGAGGAAGGCAGGTCCTGCTGGAGTGGCATCTTGTAGCTCACCGTGAGAGCTGTCGGGAAGACCCTGACGACTTTTAACCAGAAAACAAGATGCTCACAGGGGCCTCTTGGGATGGTTACTCTGATTGCAACAGAGGGAGGATAATGGATGTTGCACTGATGTTCCAGTATTTAGTGTGTCTTATTGGGTGAGGGGTGAAGTCCTTGGGTCATGGCTCCTGGAGCTATGGGTGGGGACTTTTCTAAGTGACATTCCAGGGGGTCATCTGGGAAAAGGCTTTTAATGGTGTTATGCTCCAGGCAGTTGGGAAGGTAAAAATCTCTTTCAGGGGAAAATTGATTTCACAGTTCTCTCTTCCCCACCATGCCCATCATTTTAAGAGTTTGTGTTTCCGCACGGTGAATTCTAGAAAACCTAGAAGACAGTTAAGAAATACAAACTTAGAAAAAACCTTTTATTTTCAGTTCAGAGGTACGTGTGCAGGTTTGTTACACAGGTCAACCTGTGTCATGGGGGTTTGCTGTGCAGATTATTTTGTCACCCAGGCATTAAGCCTACTACCCATTAGTTATTTTTCCTGATCCTCTTCCTCCTACCACCCTCTGATAGGCCCCAGTGTGAGGAATAAACTTTTTTTTTTTTTGAGATGGGGTCTTGCTCTGTTGCCCAGGCTGGAGTGCAGTGGTGCAATCTCGGCTCGTCACAACCTCTGCCTCTCTGGTTCAAGAGATTCTCCTGCCTTAGCCTCCCGAGTAGCTGGGACTACAGGCACATGCCACCATGCCCAGCTATTTTTTTTTTTTTTTTGTATTTTTAGTGGAGACAGAATTTCACTATGTTGGCCAGGTTGGTCTCGAACACCTGACCTCATGATCTGCCCGCCTCAGCCTCCCAAACTGCTGGGACTACAGGTGTCAGCCTCCGTGCCTGGCCTCGGAACACAAACTTTAAAAAAAGTTGAGGTGGGCCGGGCGCAGTGGCTCAAGCCTGTAATCCCAGCACTTTGGGAGGCCGAGACCGGGTGGATCACGTGGTCAGGAGATCGAGACCATCTTGGCTAACACGGTGAAACCCCGTCTCTACTAAAAAATACGAAAAACTAGCCGGGCATGGTGGCGGGCACCTGTAGTCCCAGCTACTCGGGAGGCTGAGGCAGGAGAATGGTACAAACCCGGGAGGCGGAGTTTGCAGTGAGCTGAGATCCGGCCACTGCACTCCAGCCTGGGCGACAGAGCGAGACTCCGTCTCAAAAAGAAAAAAAAAAAAAAAGTTGAGGTGAATCATGGTGAGGAAGAAAGTGCGTTAAGGAGTCATTCTTATGGCAGTTTTGGTGGGTGTGGCTCCTCGCATAGTGGATTCCACCAACAGTTGTTGAATGCCTGTTCTGTGCCTGGCCTTGGGCCCTAATATCAAAAGAAGCGCCCATCTCTGTTTAGACCGAGGACCCAGAGGGTGGCCACGGGGCTTTGTTAATTCATCTTCTGCAGCTTTTTTTGCTTCTGATGTGCTTTGACCAACTTCTCCTCAAAAGAACATGTCCTCTCCATGCTTGCATTGCCCAGGTGGTCAGCAGTCACCTCCTGTGATTGTGACCTGAGTTCAAAGCTCATGCCCAGTGTGACCGTGGAATTGTGTATTTCTGTCCTAGGCCTTAACTTTGAGTCTTTCTAGATGGAAGAATTCAGAGGTTTGGGAACTCAGGCTGAGAAGTTCCCCCGCAACACTCTGAGGTGCAGGCTTGCCCCCCAACCCCTGTGGCTGCCACCCCCTCACGGCCACCTGCCTTCTCTCCTGCAGGTACCTCACAGGTGACCAGCTGCGGAGCGAGTCGTCCCCGGAAGCTTACATCCGCTGCCTGCGCATGGGCTGTCGCTGCATTGAACGTGAGTAGCTCCTTCTTGGCTGAGGTCACGCTCACAGCAAATTGAGAATAACCATGTGGTTGCTCTATGTTTTCTTTCAAATTTTAAAAAAGTTTTAATGGACAGACAACTGTGCATATTTATGAGGTTACAGTGTGATGTTTCTTTTTCTTTTCTTTCTTTTTTTTTTTTTGAGACAGAGTCCCTGTCATCTGTATCTCCTCAGCTTCCTGCTGGGCTGGTATTAGAGGAAGGCAAACAGACGCCCACTGTGTTTTGGCAGCTGGGTCCTAGGTGTGCACAGGTACCCCGTATCACCTGGATTGGGGGGTCTGTGAGCAAATGTGAAAAGAACGATCAGGGCTGGATATGGTGGCTCCTGCCTGTAATCCCAGCACTTTGGGAGGCTGAAGTGGGAGGACTGCATGAGGCCAAGAGTTTGAGACCAGCCTGGGTGACATGGTGAGATTCCGTCACTACAAAAAGTAAAAAAATTAGCTGTGTGTGGTGGCATGCACCTGTGGTCCCAACAACTTGGGAGGCTGAGGTGGGAGGATCGCTTGAGCCCAGGAGGTTGAGGCAGTGGTGAGCTGTGATTGTGCCACTGCACTCTAGCCTGGGCAACAGAGCGAGACTCTGTGTCTAAACAGAAAAGAAAAGAAGGGTTGGCCGGCATCTGTGGCTGGGCAGATGGCAGAGGCCTTACTTCCCTCCTTCGTTCTGATAGCCTCTCTGGCTCTTTTCCTTCCAGCCTGTCTCTCACCAAAGGCTCATGGGTGCATTTGGCTGAGAAAAGGAAACAGCCACCTGGGCATGGTGTCTCATGCCTGTAATCCCAGCACTGTGAGAGATCGAGGCGGGCGGGTCACTTGAGATCAGGAGATCGCTTGAGATCACTTGAGATCAGTTTGAGACTAGTCTGGCCAACATGGCGAAACGCTGTCTCTACTAAAAATACGAAAATTGCTAGGTGTGATGGTGCACATCAGTAATCCTAGCTACTTGGGAGGCTGAGGCACAAGAATCGCTTGAGCCCAGGAAGCAGAGGTTGCAGTGAGATCGTGCCACTGCACTCCAGCCTGGGCAACAGAGGGAGACTTTGTCTCAAAAAAAAAAAAGGCAACAACCACTGACTTAGGCTCCAGTGTTACCAAAACCACTCATGATTGAAGCCACGTTTTGTAGCAGTTATTCTATAGACTTTCCTCCCATTTATGATTTTTCTCCTCCCTCAGGAAAAAACAAATGTTTAGAAGAAAAGCTTTAAGCAGTCAGCTCCTGTGCCCTCAGGGGGTCCAAAAGATTGGGGATGTTCACCTTCCACATGACCCATTTCTGTTTGAAAATTTTACTGTGAACCTTTACAAATAAATTTCTCATTGCTCTGTATCATTTCCATGGGCAGAAAAGGCAGTCAGGGTTTTCAACAGGCAAAGTCAAAATAAAACACGTGGTAAAATCTTCTTTAAAAAGAAGCATTGAGGCCTGGCGCAGTGGCTCATGCCTCTAATCCTAGCACTTCGGGAGGCTGAGGCAGGCGGATCATGAGGACAGGATATCGAGACCACCCTGGCCAACATGTTGCAAACTTGTCTTTACTAAAATACAAAAAATTAACTGGGCGTGGTGGTACGCGTCTATAGTCCCAGCTACTCGGGATACTGTGACAGGGGAATTGCTTGAACGAGGGAGGCGGAGATTGCAGTGGGGCGAGATTGTGCCACTGCACTCCAGCCTGGGCAACAGAGTGAGACTTCATCTTCCAAAAAAAAAAAAAAAAAAACAACATTTAAACTAGCTTGTCTTGGACAGCTGCACTTGCATTATGTAAGCGCACAGGGAACCCTGCTTACACAGGGAAACCCATGTCCTCCTGTTGGCAGCCGAATGGAGGGAATGTGGGTGTCCTTGTCTAGTAACTGAACTGGTGTGTGGGCTGGGGGCTGACCTTGGGGCTGTTGGTGAACACACGTGTTGTTGAGCCTGCCATGTTTCTCCCTGTAGTGGACTGCTGGGACGGGCCCGATGGGAAGCCGATCATCTACCACGGCTGGACGCGGACCACCAAGATCAAGTTTGACGATGTCGTACAGGCCATCAAAGAGCATGCCTTTGTTACCTCAAGGTCAGTTGGCTGATTTCTGGGTGGTGTGACTTAAAGAGGAAGGCAGCTAGGATTGGATGGGCAGATGCACAGACAGGCAAACACACATAGACGCCTCCCTCCAAATGTAGGAAGGTCTGGGCCCCATCTTGGCCAAAGCCAGTGCCATCAAGTTCTCACCCGAGTGTTAGCGCCCCCTGCAGGCTGAGAGTGCAGGTTACTCCCGGAATCTAGAGCCCCGAGGAGGCTCTGGCTGGGAAACCCTGTGGCTGCTCAGTGCCCACCCCGCCTTCTCATTCTCTCTGGCCCCCACTTTCAGAACCCTTGAAAGAGAAGGAAAGGCTGGGCGCAGTGGCTCACGCCTGTAATCCTGGCACTTTGGGAGTCTGAGGTGTGATCACCTGAGGTCAGGAGTTGGAGAAGAGCCTGGGGAACATGGTGAAACCCCGTCTCTATCAAAAATACAAAAAAAAAAAAAAAAAAAAAAAAAAAAAAAAGTCAGCTGGGTGCAGTGGCATGCACCTGTGGTCCCAGCTACTAGGGAAGCTGAGGTGGGAGGATTGCTTGAACCTGGGAGGCAGAGGTTACAGTGAGCTGAGATTGCGCCACTGCACTCCAGCCTAGGCAACGGAGCGAGACCCTGTCTCAAAGAAAAAAAAAAAAGAGGCAAGGAAAGTTAAAATTCCCCTTCTGTCCTAATTCCCTCTTTTCTGCCTAGTTGTCACCCCCACCAAACCTGTTTCCACAGGCAGAATCCAAGGAGCCAGTAGTGGTGGTGGTGTATTTCTTGAATAGCCGCCTGGGGCCAGGCTCTGTGCTAGGTCCTTTGTACATGTGATCATCTTGATTCTTTGCCGCAAAGTGGGTATGGTCATCCCCATTTAACAGATGAGTATAAATTGAGGCAAGGAGAGGTTAAGTGGATGAGAACATTTAGGTTTGTTTCAAGGGTTTCTAACCTCAGGTCTAATCCTTTTCTGTCCCACTAGAAGATCTTGATTTGGGCTGGAGGTCAACGGAATTGTTCTGTAAAGGGCCAGATGGAAATATTTCAGGCTAGCCGGGCACGGTGGCTCACGCCTGTAATCCCAGCACTTTGGGAGGCCAGGACGGGTGGATCACGAGGTCAGGAGATCGAGACCATCCTGGCTAACACGGTGAAACCCTGTCTCTACTGAAAAATACAAAAAAAAAACTAGCCGGGCATGGTGGCGGGCACCTGTAGTCTCAGCTACTCGGGAGGCTGAGGCAGGAGAATGGCGTGAACCTGGGAGGCAGAACTTGCAGTGAGCTGAGATCGCGCCACTGCACTCCAGCCTGGGTGGCAGAGCGAGACTCCATCTCAAAAAAAAAAAAAAAAAAAAAGAAAGAAATATTTCAGGCTTTGTGGGTCCTGTGGTCTCTGTTGCAACTATTCAGCCCAGTTGCTGAAGTGCAAAACAGCCGTGGACAAGAGGTAAACAGATGGGCTTGGCTGTGTTCCAGTTGAAACTTGAATTACAAATTACAGAAATAGATGGCAGGCCAGATTTGGGGCGGAGACCGTCATATACTGACTCCTGGTCTGGGTTCCTTATTCTTTCTGAGAGCTGGCAAGAGGCCGTCTGTAGGCTCAGTGGAATGATAGTTGTCTTTTTATCCCTTCTGGGGTAGAATAGCACTTAGGAGTATGGATTCTGAATCTTTTTTGCCAAGTTTGAATCCAGCTATGAAGTACTAGCTTGGGCAAAGCACTTACCATTCTATGCTTCAATTCCCACATTAAAAAACAGAGGTGAAAATTGTGTGCACCTCACAGGGCAGTTGTGAGGATTAAATGAGATGCCATTACAGCAAGTGCTTAACCCTGCACCTGGCATAGAGTTAGTGTTCAGTCAGTAAGACTGATTTTCTTTCTTTCCTTCTTTCCTTTTTCTTCCCTTCTTTCTTCCTTTCCTTTCCTTTCCCTTCCTTTCCTTTCCCTTCCCTTTCCTTCCTTTCCTTTCCTTTCCCTTCCTTCCTTCCTTCCTTCCTTCTTTCCCTTACTTTCCTTTTTTCCCTCCCTTTTTCCCTCCCTTTTTCCTTCCCTTTCCTAGATGGAGTCTCGCTCTGTCACCCAGGCTAGAGTACCATGGCAGTATCTTGACTCACTGCAACCTCCACCTCCCGAGTTCAAGTAATTTCCCTGTCTCAGCCTCCCAAGTAGCTGGGATTACAGGCACCTGCCATCATGCCTGACTAATTTTTGTATTTTTGTAGAGACAGGGTTTCACTATGTTGGCCAGGCTGCTCTTGAACTCATGACCTCAGGTGGTCCTCCCGCCTCAGCCTCCCGAAGAGCTGGGATTATGGGCATGAGCCACTGCGCCCAGCCCGAGTGGTTATTTTTATTGCATTTACCGCAGATGTCCCTCGAGCTGGGTGGAGGCGTTGCTCTGAGACAATGAAATTATGGACATCTTTTCCCACTTGGCGAAAACCTTTCAATGAAAGCATATGATGTCTGCCTCGCAGTGTTCTCCCCCATAGGGCCCTTGCCCTTCTTAGTGCCAACCTCTGCCAGGCAGATGGAAGGAGCCTGTGTTAACAGACACTGTGGAGGGGCTGCTTACACTGCTTTGAGAGTTTGCTTTTGTTTTCAGGACATAGGTGCTTGTGGTTGTGAGCTGATAGTCACTCATTGAACATTATCTCATTCGTGGCTAGAGGAAGTTTTTTCTGGTTAAAATAGGCCTGGAATCATCTAACACCTATAGGGCTAGAACTCTGTAATTACACATTAATGCATTAATGTTTTTGCAGCAAAAGGCATCCTTATTGGTATTAAGAGGGATTTAAAAAATGATTGCAAGCAGCATTCATTCGAATGGTTCACATTTTGCTGCCAGTTAAGTTTTGATACCAATTCACTAGCCTTTGTTCTAAAAGCTTTTTAGCTGTTCTGTTCTAGTAAGGGTGTGTGGATCAGGATTGGGGAATGAGCTGGGTCCACGCTTTCCAGGAGTGATGAGGCTTTGATTTACTTGAGCTGGAACATGGTTAAGGATTTTATTTTTATCATCGTCAGTTTATTTTCACTTTTACCTTCATTTCTATTGAGTGATGTGGTTTCCTGTTTATGGAAGTGACATAGCTGCCTTTAGAATAATTTTGTTTTCGGCTGGGCGTGGTGGCTCACGCCTGTAATCCCAGCAGTTTGGGAGGCCGAGGTGGGTGGATCACAAGGTCAGGAGATCGAGACCATCCTGGCTAACACGGTGAAACCGTGTCTCTACTAAAAATACAAAAAATTAGTCGGGCATGGTGGCGGGTGCCTGTACTCCCAGCTACTCGGGAGGCTGAGACAGGAGAATGGCGTGAACCCGGGAGGCGGAGCTTGCAGTGAGCTGAGATTGCGCCACTGCACTCCAGCCTGGGCGACAGAGCAAGACTCTGTCTCCAAAAAAAAAATAAATAAAAAAAAAATAATAATTTTCTTTCATAGTAAATGCCATGCACAAGCCTCAAATGGATTCTCGGTGGGAAAAACCCCATCTATACACTGTGTTTCTTGGATAACTGGGGAAATTTGAGTATGTCTAATGATGAATATGTCTAATCATTGTTTAAAGATAATTTCCTGGGGTGACATGGTGTGGTGAAGTCGGGGGATGTTCTTATTCTTAAGAGATACCTGTGGAGAATGTCCGCGTCTCATTTCAGATGCTTCAGGAGGAAACGTAAATACATGTATAAATGAAATGTAAATATAGGCTGGGCACAGTGGCTCACCCCTATAATCCCAGCACTTTCGGAGGTCGAGGTGGGTAGATCAGCTGAAGTCAGGAGTTTGAGACCAGCCTGGCCAACATGGTGAAACCCTGTCTCTACTAAAAATACAAAAAATTAGCTGGGCATGCTGGCAGGCACCTGTAATCTCAGCTAGTCAGGAGGCTGAGGCAGGAGAATTGCTTGAACTTGGGAGGCAGAGGTTGCAATGAGCTGAAGTCGTGCCATTGCACTTCAGCCTGGGCAATGAGTGAAACTCCATCTCCAAAAATGTAAAAACAAATAACTAAATGAGTTTCCTGCTCCCTCAGGAGGAGTGTGCGTGTGTTGTATATGTACACACACACACACATAAATATATATATGCGTATATATGTATGTATGTATATGCATGTACTAATATGTGAACGTATATAGACGGAGATAGGTGATCCTTATTGGTGAATTCTGTAACTGAATTGACCTACTTGCTAAAATTGACTTGTAACCCCAAATCAAGTCTCAAAGCACTCTGAAGTCATTTTGGGACATGCACAAAGTGTGGGAAATGAGACTCACGTGACGCACATGTGTTCAGCTGAGGTTAAGCAAAGCAGCGCTCACCGTCCTGGTCTACAGCATGAAAGCTTCAGCAAGTGTCCTTCTCGCCGTCTGTTGAGTGCCACATTTTTCCTGTTTTTGAGCTTTTTCTTGGTAATTTTGCTGTTCAGATGGTCCAAAGCACAGTGCTGAGGGCTGCCTGGTGTTCTTGAGCATGACGAAGGCTGTGATGTGCCCAATGGAGAAAATACCTGTGTCAGATACGCTTCATTCAGGCACAAATTACAGTGATGCTGGCTGTGAGCCTGACGTCAGTCAACAATATATACCAAATCAGGTGTCTTTAAACAGAAACACACATAAAACAAGGTCAGATTTTGATCCGTTGAGGTAAATGTTGTGACCACAGGCTCAAAAGGCCCTGACCCTGTATTTCCCCTTAGGAGCAATGGCTCAGGTATTTGCCAATTAGTGTTGGTGGTGACTTTATGGACCATAACCTCAACAGATGAGAAAAATCAACTCTAGATACACACACACAAATGATCTATAAATGCAGACACCTTATATAAATATACATATATACACATACAAATAATAAATGTATGCATGCATACATATGTAAATTACCTATGTGTGCATATGAATGAGAATATAGGAAACCAATACACTTTATAGATGAAATAATAAATATGCTAAAGTAGGTAGACGCACATGTGGGACAGTGTCAATGTTGGTGACCCTAGGTGAAGCTTACGTGGGTGCTTATTGCACTGTCTTTGATCTTTTCTGTAAGTTTGAAACTTAAAAAAAATTAGAGACTTTTTTCTATAAGTTTAAAGACTTGAATGGATGAAAAAAAATACAGAGAAAAGGTGCATTCTGGGGTATGGAGAAGCTCCTGGATCAGACTGCAGCTGTTCTGAGTCCCAAGGCTTGTGTCCTCACACCCAGGATAAGGTCCCCTCTCCTTCTGAGAGGGCAGATGTGGGGGCTGTGCCCCGAGCAGCACCCGGTTTCTGTTGCCCCAGGGCCAAGCTGCCCTGGCCCCTCTGTGGGGCAGATGCAGAGGTGCCTGCTCCCCCTGCCGAGCTGCCCACCCTCTTCTGCCTGCAGCTTCCCAGTGATCCTGTCCATCGAGGAGCACTGCAGCGTGGAGCAGCAGCGTCACATGGCCAAGACCTTCAAGGAAGTGTTTGGTGACCTGCTGCTGATGAAGCCCACGGAGGCCAGCGCTGACCAGCTGCCCTCGCCCAGCCAGCTGCGGGAGAAGATCATCGTCAAGGTAGGCACCCCGGGTGCTGCTGTCAGCTGTCCAGGGAGCACAGTGACTCAGTTCCCTGGCTCTGGGTCCCATTCACCAAGTTCTGTGTCCTACTGGGCCTGCTCCAGGTCCTACTCTACAGGCTCAAACCCGCTCTCCTTACTAACACTGTGACTCCAGGCAAAGCCGTTGACCTTTGGGAGCCTCTGTTCTCACCATTCTCAGGGGGAGATAATACTAGAACCCACCTGGCCAACTTGCTGGGAGGATCATATGAGGGAAGGCGTGCACAGTGCGTGGAACTGCGCCTGTCCTGTAGTTGGTGCTACGTTAAAAGCTAACTTGTTATGGTTTCTTCGTTCATTGGTGAACCTTCCCCACCCTCTCTCGGAGTCAGCCTTATTTGAGGTGCTGTTCCTGTGATTGGAGCTTCCGGTTGTGTGGGAGGCGGGCAGTGGCTAGAAAACACTAAGTGCAGCAATAGAGCTGTTATTCCTAGTGCTACAGGGGAGATGAGTGATTGTATCTGTGCCTAGGGATGCCACGGTAACATTTGGATTTTTGAATTATTAGGATAAAGAGACCAGATATGCAGTGCCTTAAAGCACAGAAGAGTTTATTTCTTCCCCACACGAGGGAGAATGTTCTGTGAGTTTTGAGCTCTAACCCACAAGGTGACTCAGGGACCTGGGAACCCTCATTCTGCTCTACCATCTCTCAGGGCAGCAGTTTTCAACTGGGGTTTTACAGACCCACAAAGAATCCACGGTTAGAATCGGAGGGGCATGTGAACTTCAAAAGAAAAAAAATTACGTCTTTGTTTAACCTGTACGTAAAACTTAATACTTCCTTCCATTATGAACGTTGGCAGCAAGCCACTTGGGGGCTCTGTCACCAGTGGAAGTCATGAGTATTTTCATATCACATTTACAGTTACTGCAAATATTTCAAAATAATGTGCTTGTCATCACTTTGGAATTATGGAGGTTATAAGATCTGCCTCTAGATCTTATTTAAGATGTTAATAAAGAAACACATCTATTAGTGTATTGCAAATATTTATTTAATATCTTTTTTTTTTTGGAGATGGAGTCTCACTCTGTCCCCCAGGCTGGAGTGCAGTGGCGCGATCTCGGCTCACTGCAAGCTCTGCCTCCCGAGTTCATGTCATTCTCCTGCCTCAGCCTCCCAGAGTAGCTGGGACAACAGGCGCCACCACTACGCCCGGCTAATTGTTTTTTGTATTTTTAGTAGAGACGGAGTTTCACCGTGTTGGCCAGGATGGTCTCGATCTCCTGACGTCGTGATCTGCCCGTCTCAGCCTCCCAAAGTGCTGGGATTACAGGCGTGAGCCACCGCGCCCGGCCTATTTAATGTCTTAATCATGTTTCAATATAATCGAGTTTCCTTTGTAATTTTATGCATTATTATTCTGAGAAAGGGGTCTGTAGCCTTCTCCAGATTTTGAAGGAGCTCATTACACAAAAATGGTGAAGGGACTTTGCTTTGTCCTTGTTTGTGTGGTAGACGCTGGGTCTCAGGCACATCCGAGTTCCAGCTCAGAGCACGGGAAGTCCAAGGGTGTCCAGGGCAAATGGTTTCTAGTAAGCAAGTCAGCTGTCCCGTCCTTTTCTGTTCTGTGCATGAGAACTCAGTCGTGTTACCTGCAAGGGCGGTGGAATCTGAAGTCCCTAGCGGGCAGCCTTTCATGGAAGGAGCGAATGTGAATTTTGTTGACATTCCCACAAGCTCATGGGGAAGGACAAACAGCTGTTTCCTAGGTATTTCAGTGGTTCATGCAGCTGTCACAAAATACCATAAACTGGGTGGCTTATAAACAACAGGAACTGATTTATCACGGTTCTGGAGGCTGGAAGTTCAAGGTCAGGGTGCTGGTATGAGAGTCCTCTTCCAAGTTGTAGGCTGTCAACTTCTAGTTGTGTCCTCACATGGTGAAAGGGGTGAGGCAGCTCTCTGGGGCCTCTTTTATTTTTAAATATTTATTTATTAATAAATAACCATCTGGGACATGGAGATATCTTTGGCCTCTTTTATAAGGGCACCGTTCCAATTCATGAGAGCTCTACCCTCATTCCCATTCATGAGAACTCTACCCTCATTCCCATTCATGAGAGCTCTACCCTCATTCCCATTCATAAGAGCTCTACTCTCATTCCCATTCATGAGGACTCTACCCTCATGACCTAATCACCTTCTGTGTTAACCCATTCTCACACTGCTCATAAAGACATACCCAAGGCTGAGTAATTTATAAAGGAAAGACGTTTAATGGACTCATGGTTCCACATGGCTGGGGAGGCCTCACAATCATACCAGAAGATGAAGGAGGAGCAAAGTCACATCTTACATTGTGGCAGGCAAGAGAGCTTGTGCAGGGAAACTCCCATTTATAAAACCAGATCTCATGAGATGTGTTCACTATCACAAGAATACCACCTGAAAGACACGCCCCCACGATTCACTTATCTCCCACTGGGTTCCTCCCATGACATGTGGGAATTATGGGAGCTACAATTCAAGATGAGATTTGGGTGGGGACACAGCCACCATCTTCCAAAACCACTGTCTCCAAATACCATTACATTGGGGATTAGGTTTCAACATACACATTTTGGGAGGACACAGACATTCAGACCATAGCAGTAAGCAGAGAAGGGGGATGTCCTACCAGGTTGGGGGAATAATAGCACACACAAGGGTGTGGATGGTGTCAACATGTGGCATATACCCTCAGTTGTCACTGGGTCACCAAGATACATTGGACACAATCCTTATGTTCCAAGAAGTCATAAGGGAGACAAACCCATCAACAGAGAAACACCAGGCAGTGCGAGGAGCTTTGGCTAAGCCGAACCAGAGGAGGGGATGTTGGTGCCCCCATGGGTAAGAGCGTCAGCGCACAGGGAGTGTTTGGCCAAGACTGTGACCCTCAAGGTACAGATGTTTACTTAAGCAGGAGATCAGCTGTCATTGTCTTAGCCTTGCAGATGAGAAGTGTGAGGTCTGGAGAAGTGCAGCCACCTGCCCAGGGTCATGAGTTAACAAAATAGCTCCCGCACTGTTTGCGCCCAGGCAGTTGTTTCGGAGATGCCAAGGGATGCTTCCTGGCAGGATAAGGGGTGGAGGGAGCTTGGCCATGGAGGGTCCATGGCTTCTCAGGCACCTGGTTGGTGACTCTTCAGGGCAGCCTGGTTGCATTTGCTCTTCCCTGCTCCCAGCTCATTCCTTCTGTTTCCATTAGGATGGCTTGCTGCGTGTTCCCAGGGATTTTTCAGCTCTTGTTCTAGGATGCAAAGTACTGAAGGCCCCTTTAAGAGCACCCTCTGCCCCACACCTGATATGCTATGGCTCACTTCTTTCTATTTCAAGAAATGAGGTGGAAATGGCATTGGCCAGTCACCTTGTACCACGTACTGGGCTAGGCATGGTCATACGTATCTTCTTCCTCAGTCTTGTCACGACATTGCAGGACAAATAACCTCAGCCCTTGCCCACTTTACAGATGTGGACATTGAGATTCAGAGGTTAAATAGCTCAGCCAGGGGCACACATTTAGTATTTGCTGAAGAAATTATTCAAGGTCAAGGTGGTCTGCCCTCAAAGCCTGCTTTCCCATGCCTGTATCATGTATCATACTGCCATTCACAATGGGACACTGAGGTCCTGCTTCACTGTTGGCACTTAACTTTCACGTTCTTTGACTTACGGGATCCCACAGGGGCTGCCACATCCCCATTTTACGAGACAGATTACTGAGACTCTGATGATGACTCAGTCAAGGTCACATGGCCAGTAAGGTAATAGGCCCTGAATTCAAATCTGGATCTGACTCCCCGTCCTGAGCTCCTTCACCAGGTTACATGACCCTCAACTTACAGACGCTTGCCTGAGGTGGGAGGCCAGGTGTCATCATTGTCTTAATCTTGTAGATGAGAAGTCTGAGGCTCAGAGAAGTGTAGGCACTTGCCCAGGGTCACACAGCTGGTCGAATAGCTTTAGTGCTGTTTGCACCCAGGTCGCCTTAGTCTAATCCCCAGTGGGTCTCCTGCCATCCTGCCCAGCCTGTTCCCTCTGGACTGCAGCCTGCCTTTCCCTCTGTGTGCTGGAGAAGGCTGGGCATAGGGGGTGTTGTGTATTCACCGAGTATCAACAGAGCACTTACTGTCTGCTAAGTGCTCTTCTAGCACAAGAGACTCAACAGGAAGCAAAACAACATCCCTGCCCTTATTGGGCTTATATTCTAGCCGTGAAGACAGAAGACAATCACATGGTGTGTGTAGGGCTAGAAATGTGAGACGAATAAAGCAGGCCTGGGGCTAGAGAGTGGCAGGATGGGAAGGGGACTGTGGGCTATTTTTATTTATTTATTTTTGGGACAGAGTCTCACTCTCTTGCCCAGACTGGAGTGCAGTGGTGCAGTCCCAGCTCACTGCAACCTCCACCTCCCAGGTTCAAGCAATCTTACTGTCTCAGCCTCCTGAGTAGCTGGGATTACAGGTGCGTGCCACCACGCCTGGCTAATTTTTATATTTTTGTAGATACAGGTTTTCGCCATGTTGGCCAGGCTGATCTAGAACTCCTGAGCTCAAGTGATCTGTCTGCTTCAATCTCCCAAAGTGTTGGGCTTATAGGCGTGAGTCACTGTGCCCGGCCAGTATAGGCTATATTTAGATGAAGCTATAAGGAAAGCTCCTCCTCCTCGTTCAGGGTAACCTGGAGAGCTGAACAGACTAAGAGGGAAGCTGGGCAGCAAGAACAGGCAGTGCAAAGGCCCTGGGTGGGAAGAGGCAGATGAAGGCTGCTGGCTCGGAGACCTAAACTTGGGTCTCCATGGAGACAGTCTATGTGTATGTTTTCCCCTCAGCATAAGAAGCTGGGTCCCCGAGGCGACGTGGATGTCAACGTGGAGGACAAGAAAGATGAGCACAAGCAACAGGGAGAGCTGTACATGTGGGATTCCATCGACCAGGTGGGCCTTGGTCCCTTCCCGTAGCCACTATGGCCACCCCCCTCGCAGCTGCTTCTTGGAGCCTTGCAGGGAGCTCTGAGAATATGCCTGTCTTTCCCATTTTTAGTCAAGTGAGTTTTTGCCATGCGAATTTACCTTCCTACTTAAACTTTATCTATTTTGTGGGACAGGGTCTCGCTCTGTCACCCAGGCTGGAGTGCAGTGGTGTGATCGCGGCTCACTGCAGCCTTGACCTCCCAGGCTCCAGTGATCCTTCTACCTCGACCTCCCTGAGTCTCTGGGACTGCATGTGCGCAGCACCATGCCTGGCTAATTTTTTGTATTTTTGCAGAGACGGGATTTAGTCACGTTGCCGAGGCTGATTTCAAACTCCTGGGCTCAAGCAATCCTCCCATCTTGGCCTCTCAAAGTGTTGAGATTATAGGCATGAGCCGCTAAGCCTGGCCAACTTTATTTTCCTTTTGCATTTTTAATGTTTTACTTTGAAATAATTTTAGATTCAATATAATATATTTACATACACATACAAATGGTATGGGATATTCCCATCTACCTTTACCAAGCTTCTCCAAATGTTATTAATAACATCCTACATAACCACAGTATAATTAGTGCAATCAGGAAATTAACATTGGTACAATACTAATAATTAGTTTATAGACTGTATTTCAGTGTTACCACTGTGTCCATTCAGGCTGTTTTCCTGTTTCGGGATCCAGTACCTGTTGCCGCGTGCACTTAGGTTGCCCTGACTCCCTCGTGTCCTCCAATCCAGAGTTGTTCCACCAGAAACCTTACTTTTCAGGCTCTAATGCTGCTTCTCTCCCTTTACCTAATGTGTATATCCATTTTTGAGTATGTTTTTACATGTCTTCTCATATCCTAGATATAAACATAACAACGGCAATATTTATTATTTATTTATTTTAGATAGTCTTGCTCCATTGCCCAGGCTGGAGTGCAGTGGTACCATCTCAGCTCACCACAGACTCCACCTCCTGGTTGAAGTGATTCTCGTGCCTTAGCTTCCTGAGTAGCTGGGACCACAGGCGCGCACCACCACGCCCTGCTAATTTTTGTAGTCTTAGTAGAGATGGTGTTTCACTATGTTGGCCAGGCTGGTCTTGAACTCCTGATCTCAAGTGATCTGCCCACCTCGGCTTCCTGAAGTGCTAGGATTACCAGTGTGGGCCACTGTGACCAGCCAAAAATGGCAATATTTAAGTAAAGAATTAAGTTGGGCCAGGCA